GAGGAGTTGAAAGGTCAAAGTAAATATAGTCTTGAGATAAAGATATTTCAACATAGAAAGCATATTTTATAACGATAGACCTTTCCTCCAATGGCTCGGCGCTATCTCTATCATTAATAAAAATTCCATGGCAAATATTGTTAGTTTTCTCGACTTATGAAATAATCTTTCAGTAATCTACATATGAGAGTTGATACATATCATCGAAGATGTGAAATATCCTACCTGTAACACAATATAGACATATGAATCTTTATTTGTTAATAAGACAATTGAGGTTAATACATTTAAAAAGTGGAAAATTAGAAAAGTGTTAAGAAAGCTTTTTTGGGTCCTGAGGGACGAATCAGTGTTTTCATCTTAAACCCTTTGCATTAAGATCTATCCAACTTGCGTTGCTGCTTGTGATCAAGATTTACTGAGCTCTATTTATAGTTAAAATAGCAGGCAAAAAGATTGGTGTTGATATATTCATTAACCAGTAATAGGATGTACTGTGAGTACTGAACTTTAGCATTTTTTTAAGAGCCGATCTATTATATGACATACTTGAAAAATACATACCGATAATAATATAAAGATTTCCTGCCCATTCTGAAATATTATAAACATTTGAACAAATTTGAATTTTATAAACTACACGTGCTACTTTTTTACGAAATAAATAATACCAACGAACACCTTCAGAAAGAAGTATCTAAATAAATTGAAATAATAATAAACTCTCATAGAAAATAAATTCACTTACAATAATTAATGGTATAACAACTGAATATACAACAAGAAGCCATGTTGGAATAACAGTTTTAACTGGTTTCGGATGATATAAATTCAAATCCGAGCATAGAAAAGGTCGTCGAACTGGTTTTACAAAATATTTAAATAATAACCATACTGCAAGTACTATTCATGATAATAAAAAATAAATTATATTTAATAAAACAATATTAAACAAACCAAATAGAAGTGAAACACCATCGAAAATTAATTTTAATAATGAAATTTCTTGTGATATCGATTGATGACTAAAAGAAAAAGAAATCTATTAATGCAATCTGTCACATTTCTTTACTCTCCTTTTACGTAATCCTTCAGAAATACAATAAGGAATTAGTTCAAATATTAGAACAATATGTTATTTATATGTGTATGGTCAGTTGAAACAAGATTCCAAATATCTACACTACATAATTCAACACTTTTTTTAGATCATGTTTCACGATATATATATATATCGATATTTCTCATGATTGAATTGTGTTCGGATAAGAATGTCTATTAACCTCTACTACTGATATATTCATTGATTCTTATCATATAATTAAAGGTTCTTCTTTACTCATAGCACTACTCATTTTTCTTTTATATTTCGAAGCAATGAAATGAATATGTTAACTTTCATATATTTATGATGTTTTATTTGCATAGAAATACCTTCGTACAGGCACTGTAGATTTTGGAGTCCATTTGATTGCTGTTGTAGAATCATCACGAGATTGTTGTCGATTTGATGATGAAAAAGGATGTACTGAACTATCGGTCATTTGCAAAGAAGATATTTTTACTTTATTTATAGAATCAAATCTATAAATGTGAAAAATAGCTTTTTATTATATTCGATAAGAAAAATAAAATAAAATAGACAAATTTTTATTTTTCAAAAATAATAATTAATTTGTTCATGTTCATTATATGGAGTTATGTGAGCATAATTAATATTTCCTTTTGGATGTATTGGTGACGCTTTTGGTAAAGAACTTACTATATAAGGAAGAAATTGTGTAGTATAATGACGCCAATTAAGAATAAATTTAAATGTAAAAAATGCAATAAAAGAACCAAATATACCACCAACTAATACATCTTGCCAATGATGATGATAATCACTAATACGAGAATAACCTATTATATAGAAAAACATAGCTAATATAAGAAAAAAAACAACCATCTGTTGTCTTACCGATATAAAATGCAAGTATAGCGAAACCAACTTGAAATAAATGGCTAAGAATACCAAGATGACGCCATGACCAAGATACATGAATATACATAATCAACCATGTCAAACCGTCTGTATTTTACAAGATTGAATAAAATAGAAAATTTAAATATGAAACTTACAAAATATAGATGAAGCATGTCCACTAAAGAATGATCGGCTAAATTAAAAACAAAAAAAAACAGAGTAGTTAAAAAATGTTTATATTCATTGAACAATATAATAAATCATAAAGATCGAAATCAAAAGAGTAAAATTTGTTTTGCCTTTTATCACACACACACACATAGCAAATTACCAATCGACATAAACATTTCATGTCATGCAGTACTTTTCATGTCCTTATCTAAAATATTGAATTGCGTATGAAAAATTTCTTTGTAATAAAAATAGTTCAAGTCTATTGTGTCTCATATGAATGATCTTAATTGACTTTTTTTTTTCAATAATTAGTCAATTACCGTGCTTCTCGTACGGCTGAAACATCTGTATTTTGACATGTATAATCAGTACCATATTGAAGATACGTATTAAATTGATTTAATGATGTAACAGCTGAACAATTGTAAGTAGGATTACATACAGCTCGAAAATGTGGTCGTAATTCACCAACGAAATTTTTTGCAATTTCAGTTAAAACCCATGTGGAAAGATAACCATAGAAAAATATGACTAAATTAATATACATAATTTTGATATAAATTACAAAATATATTTATTTACCTGTAAGCATATATAGATTACGAATAAATGGAGATATATATATTATTCTGGTTTCAGAGAATTCTAAACGAGTTATAAATTTTTGTCCCGGATACCAAGTAAAATAAAATCGTTTACAAAACTCTGTGATCCACATCTAAAATCACGCATAGATTGTGCTAACAGATTTTTTTTCTATAATATGAAGCAATTAGATTAAATCCAGATAGTGATTTTAATAGTCAATAGAGTTTTCTATCTAATGTATTTCATAGATGACAAGTTTCTTATAAAAAATCGAATATGCTACTTTTCATATCGCAGAAGTTTTTATCAATTCTGTGGCTTTCCATTAAAAAAGTTCAAAATATCACGAAAACTCAAAAAAAAAAGCGTTTTTTTTTAAGATTTTTATGATAACGTTAACTTTTTAACCGACAACCGTAGAAAATGCGACGACTCCTCATATTTTAAAAAAGATAACTTCCACAAAGTCATCTGGGAAGTAAAAAGTATTAGATAGAAAACCGCATTGACTATTAGAATCATCATCTGGTTTTTTTAGCTAGATGTTTAAAATTGTAGAAAGAAAGAACTCTATACGGTATTGTTTAACTTTTTTTCATCACCTTAAATATATATATGTAACATACCCAAAGCATTGGAAGAAGAATGGATAATATAACAGCAGCATACGTTGGTATTGTATTAACATTGTATGGATACTGTATTGATGTATCCGAACAGAAAAAACCACGTGTAAATGGTTTCGCAACATAATGTGAAAGAAGCGTTACAATAAGTACTAAAAAAAAAAATCATTTGAATTTAATATTTTCAAAAAAAAAAGAACATTTACATATTATAAGACTAATTATATCAACAATTACTCTCCATATAGTTTCACTGTGGTGATATCGATCTGTTACTACAGGTGGATTGTTTCGTTGTTGAAATCGTGCTGCAAGCATGTTTGATTCTTGTTCTTCGTCTTGACTTTGATTATTAATGGTATTCGAATTGCTTATTGAAAATGCATGATTTTCTATTTGATGCATATGTGACCGTCAATAGTGGAGACGAAACTTAACGTAGTAAAATAGCAAATGAAAAATAAGTAGTGAGCGATAAAATCGTGTATCTTACATCTACCTGAATGAGTAATAACACAAGCATGATATTGTTCGTCCTTCTTTTACCTTTCAGTATGTTCACATGTGACAACGAGTAAGAAAAAAAAGACCTTCTGACGTCAAAGATATTGAAATATTATTGGGCGGTGGCCTGATTCAAATATGTTCTCATTATACAGGGAAATTTTTATTTTCGTCATCTATTATATTAATAATAGTTATATAATGTTTTGCTTAATGATGGTTAAAAAAAAACGAATATTATCGAAAGAATAACAGTACTCAACTGTTATTTCATTATGATGATGATAATTATTGTTGAGATATATGCAGTAAATGATGCATAATGAATTCTTGTTCCATTTTATTCAACTAATAGTTTGTTTTTTTTTACATTTTATTGAGTCTTTAGCAAATGTTGCACTCTCTCTCACGCTTTTTATGTTGAATCTTCTATTCACATAATTATATTAAGAAAATTGTTAGAATTCGATTTGTCTATTGCTTTAAACATATCATCTAACTATATGCTGCTTAGTTATGTTTTAATCAATATTAATGACATGTTATTATTTAATAATTTTGAAAAGTTTTCAAAACTCATCATTTAATAATGTTATACAGTTCTATTTATAGCTTGAAAAAATTTCTCATAGGACGATGTATATCGAAATTAATAGATACAATCGACATGAATATTAGTTTTTTTTTTATTTAGTAATTCAAGAGCAAAAAAAATTCGTCAAAATTTCTCTTTTGATGAATCAAAATGAAGAGACATGCAAGACATAGTCAATTGAATAGTATAGATAAAATCAAATAACGTCTCTTACTGCTCGTTTGCCATTAGTTTATTTTGTTATATGAACAATATTGTGCAAACAATAATGATATTTACATAAGCGAAATAAATTTCGAATAGTCAAAACACATCGTATACTGAACGAAATATCCATTAATTTATTTTGCAAACAGTCCATTTGTGATAACAAAAAAAATATTTATTAAAAAATAAAATTTACTTTTATAAATTATATATTGAGAAAGGAAGAATAAAATCTATTTTATTTTTTAATATTATGTGTTTAGATGTCACTATTTGTTTTGTTTGAATAAGGAATCTATAGAATTGTTGTGTTGTATATGTTACGTAACATGAATAATGATTACCGTTTTACGATTTCATCAAATAAATGTTTAGCAAATCGGTCTCGGATCGTTGTATCTACTATGGATTTATCTAATACACAGTTTGAAAATGGCTTGTCATGGGATATAGTGGGATATTGTGCAAGTGCAATAGTTTTCTTTATTTGATCATCGGACATTGTTTCTATACTATCGCGATGGATTGATAAATAGTCAATAGCACGAGGTTGATACAAATATTTGACTGAATGATTTGAAATTGTATGTCGTAAGATATAATGCTCGATTATGATTTCATTTTTTGTGAATTGATATTGAGTATTAGAACAAAATTCTTGATTTTCTAACATAACAGAAGCTTGTAAATTTCTACCATATTGTTCGGTTAATAATCTTGGAAGAGTATCATAAGGATTTTGTGGAATTAAATATTCATTTATATTAATAACTGTTATCCATTCTGATATATCTCCATAACGTAAAAAACAATCATATTGAATTTCATCAATAGAATCATCCCATTGAATAATATCAATTAGACTAGGATACTCTTCTTCATACAAATTAATCGTAGAATAATATTGATTATTTGTATTTGAAATATTATACACAACAAATTTACTAATACCAACTAAACGATGATATTCAATCCATTGAGTAAAATATGTTAAATCATTGTATAATAAGAGAGTACATAATGTTAATGATTGTTCATTTTCTTCTGCCCAATTTGACCATGGAATATCAAGAAAACCTTGAAAAAGTATTTTTCTTGATGTAGAAAGATAAATTTTTATTTCTTGATCTATCGTTCGATTATACCATAAACGTTGAATTATTGAATCTGGAAGTGAACATTCATAAAAGAAAATCGAGTTTTTAGATTTTTGAACATTAAATGTATATGCTGGAGTAATCGAGTGATCATCAAATAAACACCAAAAATTTAAATTTAATATTTCCTGTTGTTTTGTAATAATGAAGGTTGCTGAACCACTTGAACGCAATCGACTTACACGTACACTTAAGACTTTTAAATATGGATCAATTATTTCAGTTGGAATCACTGGTATATTGAGATTATGATTTGCAATCAATTCTGATAAACGATAAATACTATTAGGAATCCGAACTGATTGAGGAAAGTAACCAACAGATGATGTTGAGAAATCTGTTGGCTTATTGGACAAAACAAAACTTGAAGCAACTAAAAGCCATATAAAAATAAATATTACACAGCTTGATTTAACGAAATATTTCATATATTTCTTTTTAAACATTTTGTTTATATTTAATTGATCGGAATATAAGTGATAATGACTAATAAATTGCATCATTTAATATTTATTTTAGCAGAAGGTTTTCAACATCGTACAATATTTACTTATTTGTCAAAGTAATCACTTGAAATTGTACCTACCAACAAGCACAGTATGCAATAATCAATAAAGAAAAAGAAATAGATTATTCATGTGAATGACGAAGTAGATGCTTGATTTGTGTTCGAATATAAATGAAAAATTCAATAAAAAACGACTGTTCTATTAAAATAGCGAAAAAACTAAGGATTAAATGTATATAAACTATCAATTAATAGATTGAAAGGCATACTCTTGATCATCTAGCAAAAATATGCAAGATTAAACTTTTATTGAAATTATAATTATGATTTCAATTTAGACTTTGTTCATTACTGTACACAGAGAGAGAAGTATGCATCGAAGGAAACTATGCAACGCCATGCCGCGATGCTGAAATAAAATGTTCGTTGTGTGAATAGAAGGCTTTGTGAACAGTTAAGCACTTCAATTACGAATACATATATATATAAATTTTTATAAATGATGAAAGTTCTTAGGAATAAAACACCAAGTTTTGTTACGAATTTTTAATTTCTTTCTTAAAATTTAAACTATTTAAATCTTTAAATTTTATTATTCAATTTGAGAAATGTTGTACTAGAATTTTCGTATTAAAGTAAACTAATGCCAAGGTGTTAACATTATTTTTCATTCTAATATATGTACAAAATGTAATCTATGGAGAGTTGTACGAACATACTACTAGAAACTTCTCAAGTAAAACTGATCTCAATTGAAATTGTAGATACAATATCGTTAAGCACTGAATCTTTTGTTTTATTGTTGGTACAACAGGACTATACGTTTCAATATATAAATTTATAATTTATATACGTTTTATCGTTGACCTTTCCATTATTTCAACAGAACCGATTTTTAAAATTTTTCATTTGTTTTCGAAGTCATAATAGATAGTTAGCTTTTGATTTATATTCGAACTTATTTTTCTTCCGATTACCTAAACATTATTAGTAATATCGACAAAAGTAGAAAAATAATCATCTTCATATTCGAAACGTATAACTTTTAAAACACTTACACTTTGAATTTAATACATCAAAAAAATGAGACATAGACATATTTTGACATATGAAAAAGCCAAGTGTTATAAAAAGAAAGAAAATGAATGTAGTAGAGTTCATTGTTCTCTTCTTTTTTCTAGATATTTACATATTAAAATGGAGGTCCATTGAAATAATATAAATAAACACTCACCGTGTGGTGATTTTTGTGAAGGTTAATAGTTTGTGTTACCATAGAAAAATTAACTTTCAACAATGAAAATCAAACAGAATGAAGGGAGTATTTGTCTTTTTTTAATGTTGCAAATAAAGATAAGAAAAATTTATTACAATAAAATGTTTTTTATGGCTTTTGTGAGCAAAAGTTATGCATTACAGATTGAAAAAAAAAGACTCTTAACTAATCTGTAAATGAAATATTTTAACTTTATTAATATAAAAAGTTTTGATAAACATCATGACAAGATGTGATCACTTTCTCTCTCTCTGTCTCATAATAGCAAATAGAAAGAAAACATACTTAAAAAGAGAACTCATAATCATTTTAACTGTGATAAAAATAAAAGAATTATGCAGAATATCTAACAGAAATAAATAACAACAACTGTCCTATCTTCCTATAAATATCTTGATACTTCTAATAACATGTTAAGATATAGAATAAAAATTATTCTACTTTTATGAAGCTCATATAACTACTATATGTTCTGTCAAAGTAACATCTATAAAGATTGTTTCATAAATTTTGGATTATTTTGAGTTTTCTTGCACTTTTTTGAATCTATAAGGTTGAATAGACATAAAAAAAGCATATGTTTTGAAATAACATCTAAGTTTTTATTCAAAATTTAATGTTCTCAACTGACATTCTTATTAAGACTGTAGATTATTAGTAAAAATGTTAAATTAATATTACCAAAGGATACGACCGGATTAGAATGTAAATCTGCCAACTCTCATATGTTTCATTTTCAATAGATTACAAAGATAAAGCATGAAATTATGCATATTCTGATGAATGTAAAAAAAATTCAGAAGATTAAATAATCGTAGGTAGTTTTTCTATGTGTTTTTGTATATTTTCAATAAGAATAATGGAAGCCATAATTTTTCTCTTTTGTAAATTCAATATAAAACTTAATATATATCGACATAGCATGTTATAATTTACAAAATGACATAATGATCATGCTCGTTCGATTAGTTTGTTCAGGGACAGACAGAATAACTCAGTACCTGTCTGTTTCTGCATAAGTTAATTGTAGAAACATAATCATTGCCGTTTTGTAGAATATAACAAGCCATGTCGATGCACAGTGTTAGTTTTCATACGGAGTTTATAAAAGAAAAAATTATGACTACGATGGTTATTATCGAAATTATCCAAAATCATAGAAGGGCCCCCACCCATTACTTGTTCTTGTGAATTTTTTTCTTTGTATTCGCCAAAAAAAAAAACAAATGCATCGAGTGTGCATAATTTCATGCTTTATCCATGCAGAGAAGTAAATGCTCCAATGATGTTTTTCAACGCGCTCAGATAGAAAAAAAAACGTATTATAACTCATTCATATGATGAATCAAAAGTTGAAGTTGTTCAAATGGGTTTGTTGTTATATAAAACAGGTTTTAACGCAATTACCAAGTAAAAAGTGATGATTTGATATGATCTAATGCATCTCTATACATTAATTAGAATCAATAAATTATTTATTGTTTAAACCAGGTTGTTAGATTTAATATCCTGTAACATCATTGGAATAAAAGTATTATAAGTCTTGTTAAAACAGAAAGACCCAATGTTCGTCTGTACTAACTCTTCGATAAGAAAATTAAAAGAATAACATTGATTTAACATGAGGAGAACAATTTAAATTTGTTCTGTATTCAAAAGAAAAGATTTTTAATGAATAACCTCGATTGATGACGAATGTGTTGTTCCATAGAGTGCATTTATACATCCAGAAACACTATTATGTATTGACAAATTATCTACTATGAGTGTGGGTGACTATATTGATGCGGTTCTGTAACACGCACATTCACCTGACAAGGAAAAGAAATGGAATCAGATTCTTTTTTTGAATAAACTGATTCCTTTGATTAAAAAGATTATTGTAATCAAAAACTTCGGAAAAAAATGAAAAGCACCACTTTTTGCAATTATTATGGTAGATAGCATCGTCTAAATGTACGAATCATCATCTTTTAACAACTAGGTTCTACTTATAGGCTTAAATTCGAAGAAAATACGTAAGATCATGGCATCACACGTTAAAAAACAGGCTGTATGTGTGGGCAAAACAGACACTTCATCATCATTACGTTATGGGATTCCGTCAGTTTAAAAGATTTTAGTTTTCATTATTTATAGAATACGATATAAAACCAAGTAATCATATTGTAAAAAAATTTTCTCTTATTCTTATCGTATTTATGTCTATACGAAATAAATCTACAAGAAAAACAATTCAAATATATACCGAATTGTGTTTGGATATATATAGCTTCATCTACGTTGTAATAACATGACATGCAAAAAGAAAAAACAATAATTTAGGATGAGAGGCATTTTCAAACGAGAAACTATTTCTCAAAGACATTTATTCTGAAGGACATTTTTTTACAGAACGTTTTAGACTGTATTTGCAAGGAAGAAACTTCTATTATTAGATCCTTTATTTTTTGCCTGTGAAATTCAGATGAATAGTTCTTCTATAGGAGAATGCTCTCTGCCGTATACTTTGCTCTTTGTTTTACTTCAGTATTCGATTGCAAAGAAATTAGTTTTACACGATTCGATAATTAGAATTGTGATTAAGACTAGTGAAGAATGACTACAAGTAACATATTTTAATAAATAAAATAACATAAAATAGTTGTCTAGTGTCCTTCTCTTCTGAAGAATGAATTCATTGCTATGTAAATAATCGAGTAACAACTGTCGAGTAGAAGTTTTTTAATGTTTTATTTCATCTTCAAACTAACGAAAAATATCTGTTAAAATCAAAAAGGAAGATATGGCACTTTAAAATATAGAACAAATCAGAACCAGAGCGTTAATGAAGTTTTCTCTTTCTTTTTCTTCTAAAAGATTTGTTTTGCTATTTTGTACATAAAAGAAAGCAGCATTAAAAGACCTTCACTCAAGAGCCACTTTTCGTTATTTATATTCACAATTTAATGAATTCATTCTTCAAAAGAGAACGAAACTACATAACTATTCAATGGGTTTTTAACTCCTGATATTCTATGAGTCGATATTACCTAGAGTCTGTTATTTATTAGTAAACAGTGCATTTTCATATTACTTGTAATATTAAAATATGTGGATTGTAATTATTCTTTAATCGGTTTAATACGTTAAATTAATCAATCCGATAAACTAATCATATGCCGAATGCATTGAAGCGCTCTTGATATAAGCCGCGTGTACAGTCAAAAATGTCCGAAATTATGAATTTTAACGTATTTATAAGAAAATTGTCACTGTTAGAACACAAAGTTCAGACATTTTTTAATTGTTTACAGTTAGTTAAATAGTAGAAAAGTATGAATTATTGTAATGCATGAATTTCACATTTTTGACTGTGTCGGTATCTATGTAACCTATTGAAAGAGAGTGACAGATTTAAACCTGAATCCGACTGTATTCTTTGATAAAATTCTTTCAACATTTCTACTAAAAACGTATTTTTTTAATATGGATATCAGTTGAGAACAATAAATTTTGCATGATAATTTGAATGTTACTTTAAAACGTGACTCTTCTATGTTTGTTCAACTATGTAAATTAGAAAAACACAAACAGAAAATTGAAAGATACCACGAAATTTATGAAATATCATGTGTCTATATGGGAGCTTATTAATCATATTTAAATATAACTTTGGGCTT